GTGCCCATTGCCTCTTGTCCTGGCACTGCACACCACAGAAAGGAGAACGTCCTCTTTGCGTGCCCTTTTCAGGTATGTATACACATTGCTGAGATCACCACAAGACTTCTCTGGACTGAACAGGCCCAGTGCTCTCAGTCTTTCTTCACACAACTCCCTTCAGCATCTCTTTCCAGTAACTCCATGTCTTACTTCTACTGGGGAGGGGGCAGAACCGGACAGAGCACTCCAGGCATGGCCTTAGCAGTGCTGAGCAGAAGGGAAAGATCCCCTCTCTTGACCTTCTGGGGATACTTTGCCTAAGGATACCACTGGCCTTCTTTGTGGCAAGGGTCCATTGCTGGCACATGTTCAGCTTGGTGTCCACCTTGACTCCCAGCTTCTTTTTTGCCTTCCAGCCAGGCAACTCCCAGTGTGACCTGGTGTCTGGGGTTGTTCTTTGTCTGGTGCAGAATTTGTACTTCACTGTGATGAACTTGCTGAGGTTTTAGTCAGGCTATTTCTCCAGCCTGTCAAATTTCCTCTGGATGGCAGCACAACCCACTGGTGTATCACAGAATGAATCCAATGTACATCCAGTCTGCTCAGGAAAGAAAGAAGAAAGAGCTTGGGATTTAAGTGGAATGCAAAGTTAGCCAAATGCAACACCAAAAGCAAGATGATATTTTAAAATAGTACATAGAAGGGCAAAAAAAAGCAACAAAAACAACAAAATGGAAATCATAAAAACCTTGAAAAGTTCAAACTCAGAACCAGAGATTACTGGTAACTGCTTGACATTCTACTTTTTTAGAGGTCAAAATATTGTTAGGCTATAGGTTTGTGCCAATGGATCAATAAAACAGGTTTGAGTAAAGATATTCCTTCTGTTTGTATGTGATTTTTCTAAACCTGACTCTAGAAATAACGTATTTGTTCACCGATCTTGAATTCAGATTCTTACCATTACCATGAGCCTGCAGCTCAGATTTTTGATGCAGTATCTTTTAGCTGAACTGATGCATTGGCTGGGCTGGGGCTAGTGAGGATGTTGCTGTCTGTGTTGAGGCTGTGATGCTATATCAATTTAAAAAAACATAAGAAACTGACCTTTTTCACATGAACAAAAGGAAAATGGAAATTTCAGAAAAAGGAATGGAAATGTGCTTATTCTTGGCTGAGACATGAATACTGACTGACCTCTGACATGCTACAACGAAACTCCAGCAACCCCTGCTGTTGTCCTGGGACCAGCACCACAGCGCTTGGCATACAACAGCTTTCTTCAGCATCATTTTTAGAAAGATGCCTTGTGAGAAAACATTGTAATGGTCTCTCATATTAAAAAATTGCAATTGTGCATTCAGCTTGGGGTCCTGTCAAGAACTCTGCTGATGGTACATTAAATGTAGATGCAGTTCAAGCTGTTGAGGCAAATTCTACTGCAGATACCAAGTGTTTGTCTTTGGAGTCCTCTGTTCACATGGTTGCAGTGCCTTCCCCTCCTCTGATGTTACACTGAGCTCACGATTCAAGCTTAAATTCGTAAGTGACCCAAAGGTATTTTTTATGTCCTCTCTCACAATGCATTTTGAATTTTTGTCTTTGAAATACAGCCCCTACATATTTTTGGGCTCCTTCCTTTGTGTATCAGAATAAGCTAATAATAATAAGTTATTATCTGGTTCTTATACTGCATATTCTGTATTTTATTTTGTTTTGCTTTTAATGGAAGCTGAGATTTTATGTAGTTTTGTGATTCCAACAACATCACAGATCACAGTACCAGTATGGAGGCAAGGACTGGGATACAACCCAAAAAGTGAAAGGAAGTGTAACCTTCTTCCTCATTCCATCCCTTCTCTGAAACTACAGAATGACCTTTTTTTTTCCTGTTGCTGTTACAAGAGCAACAACTCCATAGAGCTGTGGTTACAGAACCATAATGTTAGAGATGAAAAGGAGCAATGGACACCATCAGGACACTTTTTGTATTTTTACTGATGTTCACACTTAAATATAGCCATGAACAAGTCAAGAAGTACAAGACTGAAAAAAAGCATAACCATCTGTTGAACTGTTATCCAAAAATCTTGCTTTCGAACTAGTGCAAAATGTAGCCTGTTTTCCATGGTTCATTACCATTCATAATTTCAGCCAATTAAATTTTATTTCCCAGTATTTTATGTTGTTTTTTCTTTTTTTTTTTTTTTTTACATGTATTTGCAAGCATTCAATTTCTCTATGTTTGTATTTTCAGATTTATACAATGGCCCCAAATCTTTTTTCTTGTCCCTACCCATTCTGTTTCAGAAGAGCCAACAATAAGCCAGCAGTGACAACAAAACAAATGAATAATTTTGGATCTGTTTGCTTTGAAAAAAAAAATCAGCATGTCTGTGCATCAAAATGTAGCCAGTTTGGTTAGCTTTCTACTTTCCAAGAGAGATGATTGCAAACCAGATCAAAGGGAAGAATCTTGTCCAAGCTTCTACTGCAGGTTCAGTTAGGAACCATAGTGTTCAGTTGAGATCTAAGACAATATCAGTTGCACTCTTTCTTTCTCCTGTATCTTGTTTGATCTTGTCTTGTGATTGTTCATTGTAAATCTGAGGTCAGAAATGCCACTGATAAATCCAGACAAACAAGACAGTGACTCGCAGTAAGGACAGTTCAGATTAGGTAAAGCTAAAGGAGGCACCAAACAAAATACAGTATAATGGTTGAGAACATTGCTACTGTGGATTGTTCGTAAAAAATCTGATTGATTTACAAAAGCTTAGTGTAAATATAATCAATGTCTCAAGGAAGTATCTGTTCATTTATAGCTCAGCATGGAATATACGTTATGGGGAGAACAGTTTTAATTCAGTAAACTCATGCTTGTGCAGCCACAAGAGGAAGCTTATTCTGAAGCAGGGAGACGGGGACATTTGGGGAGAGCTGCCTGCCCCAAGCTGCAGGATGCTGCAAGGAGCCATTGCTGTCCTCAGCCTTCCAGCAGCTCCTTGGCTGTGTATCTCAGACCCTCTGCTTCCAGCGTCAGGACTGAGGTTTTCTTGAATTGCTACCTTCTGATTTTGAATGTGCTAAATTGCCTCAGCCACAGGTACCTTGTACACCTGCAGGCTGACAGAATGAATATACTTGGAGGACATTCCTCCAGAGAGGGGACACTTTCAGGCTCCCGTTTGGTGGTGTTGTGCTACCTACCAATAGCAGTGCACATAAGGACTTGCTGGCTGCTCAGTCCGAAACTTTCTCTATTTTCAGTCACAAATATGACTGACACAAAATCCACTTTTAGAAATGTGCCTGGCAAGCTGTGTTGCCTCCCTTCTTCAGCATGAGCAAATTGGTTAAAACAGGTGTAGTCGGGGAAAACGAATGGATTTCTTAGTCCCTGACACCCCTACTTTACAGGTAAATGCTCTTCTGGTTTATATGCTTTTTCTGAGACCAAAGGGAATCTTTATGTGAAAGCTTCATGTCAAAGTACTGGCAGCAGAGCAATAGAAATAAAGCTGCAGTCTCATGATGATATCCTAATGGCTTTCTTTTTATTTTAAGATACTTTAAACTAATCCCCAAACTCAGCCCAATCACAGTCTCCAATGCAGCATTGTTTTCAGCTATTAGCAGGTGGTTTTTAAAGCCCTCTTTAGATGATATGCGGGGCCCACATAGTGAAGTCAATTGTTAGACAGGATATAATTTAGACTTCAGCTCTTCCTCTCAGTTTGAAATAAAATGATTACATTTCAGGAGAGCCTAAGGGAAGATTAAAAGTTTTATATCAAAAGTTGAATATTTTCTTTTGTTGTGCACTCTTCTTTTAAAGGAAATGGTATTCATTTAAAATAATGCATGTTCTGATGTATTTGAAAAGGCACTACTCTGCATTAAAAAGAAATTCATAAAGTATGCATGTATGGGAGAGGAAGATTGCAATCTTCATTTGAGTGTTTAGTTAAAGGATTTTTACTCAACCCATTCTGCTTTGTTCCTAGAATGAGATAGCTATCTGCAAAGACATGCTGTAAATAACAGATGTCCCACAGTGTTTAGAGGGCAGCAGTTAATGTGACAAAATTTTTTGGGGGGGGAGCTCCTCTCTACAGTCAGGTTATAAAGTCATATGATAGCTTCTCTTTCAAACTGGAAAAAAAGACCTTGCCTATACTTAAACTTGTTATGGTTTGAGACAGTAGGTCAACATAATTACACTTCTGGTAACTCCTGTGACACTTCTCATTTCTTTTATTCTAAAGTTATCCAAGGGCAGAGGCCACTTGTAGGATATCAAGTTGTAAAGCTGATGCACGTGTTAAAAATAAATAGCATAGTACAGGTATGAATAAAAAGTGAAGACATGAACAAAAAGATTAAGTTTTTATCCAATACGACCAGATTGCTTTTACTGTTGGTATCAGTGTGGCTCTTTTTAGCAAAGATGCCCTGGACACATTTGCAAGAAGGCACCAATTAAAGGAATTCCTTGAAGCTTCCTTAAAGCAAATGTATCTGTAGTGAAGTCTCTTATAAAAGTTCGCTTTCTCATCCAACTGAGCACAGATCTTCTTCCAGAAGCCATCTGAAGAGCCTAAATACAGAACTGCAGTAGTTTAGTAGCCTGCTTATTAGAATGAAGAGTGTGAAAATTGTTCCTGTTATCAAGGAGCATGGTCACTGAACCGTTAAGATTTTCTTGTAATATTATCACAGAAGAGATGAAATTATTTCACTATATTGTTTGTAATCTAATTATATATATGTATTTATATGTTAACAGAAATGGATGCTACCGTCTTAAAGCAGCGCTAGCATAGTTTTATATTCATTTGTCTCATATAAGGGGTATTCATTTTACTCACCTGACATGGGAACCGAAGTTAATACCACCCAGTTAGCCACCATGCTGCCCATTAGAAAGGTTTAACTGCAGATTTAAGAAGGATAGAGGTTCACTGTGTTCAGTTCTCCCTCAAAGGTTATGGAGTGTTAATGTGCTGTTATTCCAGATTTCTAGAAAACCTGATGTGATGTGGAAATTAAGACGACAGTTAATGGCTACTGAAGAAGAAGACAATTCATCATATCCACCTCTGAATGTGACCACTGGAAATAATACATGCATCCTTTTCTATGCTAGTAATTTCAGCCTTGTTGTCAATGGTTCAGTTTTAATAGAATTGACAGAAGCGACATTTGTTACCCGGAGTGTGGATATTTCTTCCTCTACTTGCTCAGATGCCAACACAACGTGAGTAGAACAAAAAATTTTAAATTTCACATACATATTGTTCTGGAAGCTAACAAATAAAGCAATGGAAAGAATAAAACCTTTTTTTTCTTCTACTAAAGCATACAAAATAAAAAAATATTAAATTTAATATTCTTGTACGAAGAAGATTGAGTCAAGACCCACCACAATTTTCAGATGCTTCCTCTACATTTGCTGTTTTTTCCTTCTGCATTATTTAGTTGCTTGCTTGTTTATGTTTGGTCCCAATGGGTTTTTCTGTGCCCAATCTTGCCATCACAGAGATCTCCACTAGCATTAACGAGATGATTGTTTCATTGTAAAATTCCCTTGAAGTGCAGTATTGCCATTTGGTAGGTGGTACTTCAGTTGGAAATACATTAATGAAACATGATCTCTGCTTTCATTTGTTTTGAAGCACCTGCTCTTGGTTAAAAAAAAAAAGGCTATGGAAATATTTTGTCATATTTTTCTGTGTGCTTTTTGTGCTGTGAACCTTTTCTACATGACTTTTGTAATTGCCTATTGATTTAGAATATTCCTTCTGATTGAAATGTCACAGTGATTTAATTAAGGCTGACTACTCTAACATTAAAAATCTTTTTCTTACTCTTAGACTGTCATTAAAATACACAAAGCCAGTGAATGGAATCAACAGCCTAGAGATAAGGTAACTTATGATTTATTCTTAAATAAATCTTTGTGATATACAAAGCCCATTTGTAAGTTAAGACAAAGAAAAAAAGTGGTGAAAAGGTTATTAAAATCATGGTTTTGTTTTTTATTGCTGAGGAGTTACCATATAGTAAAGAATATCTAAGCATGCTCAGGTAAAGTTCTGAAAAATAATGTAAACAGTCAATCATTGTGTAAGACAGTGGCACATGAAACATCTTATTTTGTTGGTAGGATCAGAACAGGATTTCCCATCTTAGGGAAATCAAACTTTAATTTGGAAATAATTCTAGGAGCTGAAGTCTGCTTGCCTTGCCAGGCTTGTGTTTCATCCTGATATGGATTACCAGTGTACTCTGTCAGAGTTAGCCTGTGGCTAATGAGGGCTGCAAAAACTGATAATTTTTCTGCTCTGTGGATGATGGCAAGAGCAAGCTTCTTCCACTGTAAGAATAGGAAGAGAAAATAAGGAAACAGGAAGACTTGGGATGAAAGCACGCTGCTTTTACTTTTGCTGCTGGACTCCAGGATAGCATCTGTACTGCTGTGAGAATTGCCATACAGCTACTGGTCCACTAACCTCAGTTCTTTCCTCAGCAGCAGGAACAGCAGTTAAATGTTTTCCATAAGCTCTATCAAAGACAATGTGGCCTGCTCTTTTCATTTCAGTTTATCTCCTGCTTAAAGAGTCAGTCATGTCATTTTAGGCCTCTACTAGCTCCCATAATACAGTATTGCATGGTATATAATATGTACTTAACAGAACCAGAACAGTCCATTGATCTTTTCATGATTCGGGAAGACTTTATTTACTTTGCTCATCCCAGCATGTCTGTTCTCAAGGACTAAAACCCACAGAGATACATTATAACTTCTGTTTTCCCCTTCTGGTTCATTTCAATTACATTTGCTGTTGAAGATGACTTCTTAGGAAGATTACATTCTGCCTCAGTAGACAGGACTTGAGCAGGGCAAAGAGGTGAGAAGGAACAGAAAACAGAGCCATAACTGCATTATTTTTTCTCTATAAAGGTCATTTAATATAATAAAATGGCACCAGACAGGACCATGGTTAAATAGCTCAATTCATTTCTCACTAAGCTCAATAAACTCTAGCCTCAGCAGCATAAACTCAATCCAGAGCGTGTCCTTACCCCCCAAGTCTATCACATTATGCTGAGCAGCTAGGGATATCCCACCTCTTACAAGCAGCTGCAATAGCTGCCTCTTCTTATGGAAACATGCCTTGTTCTTCCCTCTAGCAAGAGCAGGGGTCAGCCTCCTGCACTTGCCGTAGAAGGGTGAACTGTTGAGGTTTTCTGGCTGTGCTACTTCTGTGGAGAAAGGTACCAAATTGGACAGAAATGCTAAATCTCTGTCTAGCATCAGCTGGATGGAGCTTCATTTCTCTTTTCCCTACTTAAATTTCTAAGAATGTGACTATTGTTGTACAGCATGTATTAAATGGAATTGCTCCAAGAACTGTGGTGTAAAGTCTGATACATATAAATTGTGCTTCTCTTACAATCTTTGGAACAACAGTAATTCTAGATAACTTCCTTTTCAGAAACATTTCTCCTTGCAGTGAATAGCCACGTGAGATGGTGATCAGTAACAAGTAGTGACAGTTAGAGTTCACAGGGTTATCCGCCACAAAGGGAGTCTAGCATGCAGCCAAGAACTGTTTGTGCCACAATACTTAGAGAGTATAATGGCTTTGTGAAAGTTTGCTTCCTGCATTGGCTGTAATATTCAGTGCGAGCACAGCATTTCCTGTAAAAGGCAAGACACATAGCCTTGTAAATCTTGTTTGTTCATACACTGTGTTTCCAAAGAACTTCCTTATTTTCGCTTCCTTGCCTTCTTAGCAAAAGTACAGAGCACACTCAGCATTTGTGGCTGGCACAAGATTTAAGTATGTTTATGTATATATTACATATTTATGTATATTTATAAAAGGCCATGTCTTTAGGTTGAAGAAGTTCTTTTAGTGCCTGCAGATGAAAATTCAGTTCAAATTGTGCTATATATCCGGAAAAAATTCTCACAATTAGTATCTATGCTAATACATTTATAAATTTTGTACCTTTATCATTATAAAAATGGGATAATTTTCCATATATACTTGTATACTGGATGCAGTTCAGAGGATATGTTCTTTTTTCACTGATGTTTATGGCTGAATATAGTGTGGAAGGAGCAGTTTAAGTTCAAGACAGGAATGACAAAAGACAAAACATCCTTTTCTCACCTGAATGATGCTTTGAGTTCTATGGTTTCTTCTGAGAATTTCAAAACTCTTCAGGATTATAAAATATGAATCAAAAGCCACTGATTGTTAAAAAACAAAACAAACAAACAAAAAAAGCACAAAAAAAAACCCACAAGAAAACAACTCAATGCAGTGATTTTTTATTTTACCCTTAAGGAACATTGATTGTATTGAGTTTAGACTTTAAGTTAAATGGATGATATGCTACTGAAAGCAACTGATTTAAACAATCAATAGAGAACACTACTACTCTGTATTGTGCCTCATTTATAGGTGACTGCTTATTTTCCAAACCTGTCATAATTGCATCTAAATATTACCCTAGATTTTAAAATCCACACATAGTGATGCCCAAAGTGGTGTGGATAGACATTAGAATATTTCATTTTGAATCTTCTGACTTATTAATAAATGGATTACTCTTATTAACTTCTTGTGGTTATATGACTCCACAAACAAGAGAGAGAGAAATATGCAAAACAAGTGGGTACTAAGTATGAAACAAAATATAATAAGGAGAAAAGTTTATCATTTCCTGAAGAGATAATTTGATTACCTAAAAGCTACTGGATAAAAGTGGTAAAGATTAGGTCATAGTCCTGGTATCTATAGATAAGAATTTACTTCTGTATAGTGTCAGTTATTTTTCTTTCAGAACATTTGTTCATACTGCAGTGGTAGTAACACTTATTTAAATCCCATGGTTGTAAACTACCAGAAACCGTTTTTTGCAAAATGAGAAAATATTCATTTGTGGCTAAACAACTACAAATTAGGAAAGTGTGGCTGACAACCCTTCCTCCCATCTAGTAGAGAAAACTGTCTTTTACTGTAAATTCAGACATTTGCAAAGGTAGATTGCCATTTAAGCATCTGAATCAAGGAAGAATTACAACAAATCGAAATGGTTATCATGGCTGTACCTATCATAAAAGCAATTTTTTTCAAAAAATCCCATAAATTGTTTATTGAGAGCTACTACAGGCCTATTGACAGTGTCTTAAGTTCTGGTCCACTCGTTATAAACTGTTGGTAACTGATGAGATACTGCATTGGCATAGGCCCTTGAAGAATGAAATCACATTTTCTTGCTCCTTGCCTGCCACAGCTTGTGAGATGAAACCCTGAAAAGCAGTAGAAATGTTCACAAAGGCTATTCACTTGTGAACAGTCCTAATGATGCGAGACGCCAGCTGTGATGTACCTTTATTTGCCACCAGTTCTTTATCAAATGAATGCTAATTTTTTCCTTCTGGCATTTGGACTTTTTTTTATTCTGTTGTCTTTCTAGGTTTTTAATGACCAATATGTTCTATGGAGGCTCAGCTAGAAATTGGTTCACTTTGGATTCAGTTGAGATTGTACAAGATGAAGAAAAACTTGCTAAGTATAATGTATCTGTCATCTCTGCTCCTGCAGAGTACTCATTTCATTGTCAGCTGGTGGGAACAAGTAGTCTCTATCTGGCAAGGCTGATTCCATCCAACATGGAAGCAATCAACTGGGATGTTTTCATTTCCAGGTTCCAAGTGAGTACACATTGCTATTTCAGAGATCATTCCAAGAATTATTACTTGCTATTGTAGGTGCCGAACAACACAAATTCATAATGCCCTTACTTTCAATTCAACCTGAAGAAAAATGTAAAAGAAAATCTGTTCCCCCTAGGTGAGCTATTCAAAAAAGGGGTAAAAGAGATGGCAGTTGCTGAACAGTAAGAACATGGAAGTGCAGCTGTGAAAAACAAAACCTCCAAAGTTGTCCACAGAAAAGAAAAACCAATAAAACCAAATGCGCTTAATCAGGCAAAGAATGACTAAGTCTCCATGCCTGTTTAATGAATTGGGCTGCTGCTGGAAATGTGGACCTCTTAGGTGGGTGGCTTTATGCTGCTTACTTTGTTTTTATTTGATTTCTTTTTCTTTGTTTACCTAGAAAAGTACAGCTTAGTGTGGTTACAGCTTTCAATGACATAGATAGTCTAAACACCTACAGACAGAAACAATAGCCAGTAGAATTAAATGTAATGGAAGGTTGGAAGGTTTGCCATGGATTTCAATCAGGAGAAATACTAGGTGCCACATGGCCCAGAAGGAAAACATTTTGCTGTTTTGTTTTGTTTTGTTTTTTTTTAATGAAATACAGGTCTTCCCTATATTTTGTGTAGATGTGGATGGGCACTAATTTTCACTTAGGGAGAGGCACATTAGCAAACTGGACTCACTTTGTCAAAGATGAACTAATCTCATAATTGGATACAAATGCTGATATAGTCATATTAATAATTTATCAAAAAATCTCAGTGATCTGAATTCACGTTTGACATTTCAGTTTAAACACTGAAATCTCAAAAGAATAGCATTGGTAATAAGATTTACTTTCCTCCTACTACCCAGTGTGCTTAGGTCTATTGCAGATCCGGATTCTAAAAGAAGATGAAATGCAAATTTAATATCTTTAGTCATTATTCGGCCGCACAAAAACACTAGACTTAAGTATCTCTGGCAGCCTTCCTTTTTGAATCACTGTTTTTTACCTTCCCCTTTGCAGGCTCTAAAATTAAGTCCCACAGTTTTTGAGAAGCAATACAGCAGTACATACCATTGTTGTGAAGGTTCCTCCTGATGGTGGTGGAAAGGCTTGAAAATGTCTGAGTAACAGCACAGATTTTGACATCAGTAGTCTGTGATCTGTGAGAATACATGGGCTGTGAAAATACAAAGGGTCCACTTACAACAACCTGTCTTTTCCTAGAACTTCAACCTTCTCAAAGCGTAATAAGAGGTCTTTTTCCTCCTTTAGCAGGAATCCTTTCAGTATAGTTTTAATAAGAGGAGAGGTAGTAGGTAACCTACCTTCTTCTTTACTCCTGTGGAGCAACAGCTGCTTCGCTGTTCAGATAGCAGAACTTTCCTTTGGAAGAAGGCCTTCTTCTCTAATCAAGTATTTGGTGTTAAAAACAGCCTGGAAAGTCTTATTCTGAGCATTTTTGTTATATCATTCTCCATCAAGCCAGAATGTCACCATTTTTTACCACTTTCTAAGTTCTCTCTAAGCTAGATCATACCTTCCCAGTTATCGTCTACTGATACGTGAAGAAATCTGAATGGCATCACTACTGGTCTTTGTCCAAGAATGAGATTTGCTAACTCCAAGCTGTGTTGCAAGATGAAGAAAGCACATGGGATGTGCTTAGTGATTGCAGACAGCACAGAATCTGCTTGCTGACACTGGTGAACATCATTTTCATTGTCAGTGTTATGCAGTGAATCAGAAATCATGACCCAGTGCCAGTCTAGCTGGGACAATTACACTTTACTACTTTGGATGGTCAAAATAGTATCACCATACCAAAGAGGTTGTGGCATCTGCACAGTGAAGGCTTCCATAGTATGTTCCAGGACCAGGCTGCAATGATGCAGGTATTGCTTTATTCTGGAGCTATAAAGAACCTCAGTAGGATACTATTTAGACAAAGTCTTTGCCTACAGTGTCACCACTCACAGGTGTAAACTGTACTAATATCACTCTGTTATGGTTTTTTTTTGTGGCAAGAAAGGTTACTCTGCCATTATAAATCTTGTCTCTTTGAGGCTCTCAAGGGTTTTCTAAGAAATAAAAGAGGAAGGAACCACCAGGTACTGTTTTCCTTTACTATGTGTCATACTGGCTTTCAAACCACTTTGCCCTTAACAAAAACTGCCAAAAACTTTAAAGCTACTAATTTTAGGATTCTTTATGGCTGAAATATTACTATGTTCAAAAATTAGATGTCCAGTGTATGTTTAAGATCAATGAAACAAGAGATCTTGAAGGCTTTGTCAGAGGCCCAATGATGAGGAGACTCAATTCAGGACAAATAATTTAAAACACGTTCAGTAAATGTTCACTAGTATGGACAAGACAAATAATGCTAGCCCAAACAGTAAAACCAAAACTTCCACAGAAAGTGAGCTTTGGATCCTGTATGCTGTATTTTGCAGTCATAAAAATTAGAGAAACTTTTAAGTATTTTTAATTTCTTCTTGGTAGAAATGCTGCTAGAAATGACATTTTTATCGCTTAGCTGCGTTGTGACACCCCCACAGGAATGATAAAGCTTCAGAAAAGCAATAAAAGAATCCTGCATATAATTCTTCATGAAAGTAGATATCACATTTTAAGAATGTGCAATTAAAGCTTTCATCTCAGAGGTTCAATAAGCATAATCATTCTTAAAAAAAAAAGCACCAAAAAGACCCCACAAAAAAACACCACCAATAGGATTGACAAAATAAAATACAGTATTTCTGGCTCTAAACTAGAACTGACAATATCTTGCTAAAGCAAATATAGGTGCTAAGTGCTTCAGAGATTTCCTGTAAATATGGTAATGAGAATGCATTGTTTTTCAGAATTTCAGTCTTTTTTTACTGAAATAACATAAATCATCACCTGCTTTTCATTGTAAGTTTTTCAGATTATATTTTGTGACTACTATTTACATTTTCATCTGTTGTCAAAGCAGTGGCTTAATAAGAAACAGCTTTGGTAAGCACCTGTATTCTCTGAAACTGCACAGTTATCCAACCCAAAAGCTTATTGCCAGTAATCCTGCTTTAATCAGAACTCTGACTGCCTAAGTGAAAGCATTTAGGATTTGCAAGTAGCAGCAGAGATCTCACTTGGAAAGGTTCTTCTACAGCGTCCAAAAAATCTCATGATGTTAAAATTATCTTCACCACCATGGTGCCTTACTCCTGTATGTGATAATAGCTTTATTAATCAGCATTCCACAAGGTACAGGCATTGCTTTTAACACATATAATACACATGTTAACTTCAGTTGCCTGAACCATGAATTAACTCAAACTCAGAGTGCTTACTGAAGTAGCGTTATCTACAAGCTACAGACAAATTTCTTTAGTTTGTGCAGCATCTTTCATAGGAAGTGCAAAATCAATTTTTAACACAAAATTTTCATGTTAATTTATCTTAAAGCATGGAGTAATCATGGAGTGGGAACACAGAAATTAAAAATCCATGATCTTCTTTTCCCATTTTCTTCCACTAGTTTCCCTTCCTTCTGAAGGAGTGGTTGCTTATGTCATTATGTGCCTGTTTGTACACGGCAAATTGTCCTCCCTTTATATCTTTCAAATTTTTATCTGGTTTTAACAAAAGTTTAAATATAGTATCAGTCTCAAAGGCATTCAGTTTGTTTGTACTTTTTGCAAAATTTGGAGATCTATCGGAATACATAGATAAAAGATCCCCAAGTAGATCACCGAATTAGTTGACTTTTCTGAGGATAATAATAACAGTGTGAGCTCAACCAGTAGCAGATCTCAAGAAACCAATCACAGGAGAAATATTACAAGTTTCCCTAAGCACATGAAAAGCTTATCACAGAATCTTAAAATGGCTTAGGTTGGCAGGAATCTTAAAGATCATCATGGTCCATCCTCCTGCTGAGGTCAGGGTTGCCATCTCCTAGATCAGTCTGCCCAAGGCCCCATCCCCAGGTACTCTGGGCAACTCTTCCAGTGCCCCACCACTCTCTGAGTAAGAAATTTCCTCCCAGTATCCAATCTAAACGTCCTCTCATTTTAGCATCCCTTCTTTCTGTTGTATTAACTGCACCACTGTGCTTGGTGTCATCAGCAAACTCACTGAGAGTGCACTCAATCCCTGTGTCTATGCCACTGATAAAGACATTGAAGATAAAGACATTGAAGAGCACCAGTCCTAAGACAGACTCTTTTCGAGCATCGCTTGTCAGCAGCCTCCACTTGAGCTGTTGACTACAACCTTCTGGCTGCAACCATCCAGCCAATTATTTATCTACCAAATAGTCCAGCCTTCAAGTCCATATTTCTCCAATTTAGAGATAAGGGTGCGCTGTGGGGCCGTGTCAGAGGCCTTGCAGAAGTCCAGGTAGACAACATTGGTTGCCCTTCCTTTGCCACCAATGCCATCATTCCATCATAGAAGTCACCAGATTGGACAAGCACAATTTGCCCTTGATAAAGTCATGCTGGCTGTCATGGATCACGTCCTCATCTCGCACATGCCTGAACATGTATTCCAATAGGATCTGCTCCATGCTCTTTCTAGGCACAGAGGTGAGGCTCACCAGCCTGTAGTTCCCTGGGTCTTCCTTTCTCCCTTTCTTAAAAATGAGAGCAATATTTCCCTTTTTCCAGTCACCGGGGACTTCATCTGTGACTCTTCAAATATGATGGAGTATGGCTTGCCACCCATATCAGCCAGTTCCTTCAGAACCCTAGGATGCACGTCATCTGTCCCCATAGACTTGTGCACATTCAGCCTCATGAGGTGGTCTTGGATTTGCCCTTCTCTTACACTAAAAGAGATTTTGCTTCCCTGACTTACTCCAAGAGGTTCAGGGATCCTGAGGGGTGTGGGAAGCCTGACTTCTGGTGAAGGCTGAGGCAAAGAAGTCTTTGACTATCTCTCATGCCTGTTGAAGGTAACTTTCACTTCTCATTAGTCAGAGGAGGTACACTGTCCTTTGCCTGTCTCCTCTGCCCAGTATACCTGTAGAATGCCTTTTGTTATTTTTTCGCATTCTTCACCAAGTCCAGTTTCATATATGGGCTTTTGTATGTGAATACACATGGAGTCCACACCTCAATGGAGGATAAAAAACCTTACCAACTGTTTTCTTCTTAAACTTTTACTAAACCTCAGCTAAAATATTACATATCATTAAATGCATTTTAAAGTAGGCTCTAGAAGTTCTACTCATCAAGATATTTTGACAAATCATATCATCTGTGGAGCCTTGCCTCACATGCCCTTGAATTTCCTGATTCTGAAGTGGTCATTGAGCTAGGCTGATCATACATGCTATTTTACTTTCAAAACTAACACAAATTCGTGAAGTGGGAACACAACCTTTCTCTTGTCAAACATATAACTTCTGCATCTTAAATTTTTAAGTGGAAAGAAGACCTGGAAAATTGTTATGCAAAGTACTTGTTCTCACTCTTTTTTAATGGGCTGAGTGAGAGTGGCATACATCCTGAAAGTAACATCTGTATTTTACATTTAATTTCACTCATCTGTCTTTCTTCATTCTCAGATTCAAGGATTCAACGTGAAAAATGGCCAGTTTTCCTATGCCAGTGACTGTACAGGTTTCTTCAGTCCTGCAATCTGGATGGGTTTGGTAACATCTATAATTTTACTGTGGATCCTGACCTATGGAATCCATATGATCATGCAGCTCACAACAAACAGCAGATTTGATGATCCCAAAGGTCCAGCTTTGTCAGTTCCTCAGACAGAATAGCCATGGATTTATTTAATACGGCTTCAGCTTTTCCTGGGTTGATATTTATGATTTTTATAAGCCTTCTACTTTGTGACATGTGTAACCTAAAAAGATGTCATCACAGAAAAGGATAATCAAACGACATACTAAAGGATACTTATGGTTAGCAATAATAATAATAAGTCTACTTGTTATTAACTTTCATTTTTTTAATAATGTTCATTATTAAGGTCTAAGGTGAGGTTGTCAAGATTATTACTTTAGCTATTAAAAAGACCAGAACAAGCTGCCTTCAGATTAAATATTTTTGGCAAAGAAAGATTATCAAAACAGAGAGAAATGAGAAGTATTTATAAATAACTAATTCAATAAGAAACTGAAATATTATCATACTAAGTATGATTAAATGTGCCAGTGCAGATGGAAATAATGTAATTTTCTTAGCATTCTTCCTTTGCCAGGTATCTTTGGAGTAGTTTTGAAGGTTGTACAAAAAATGGGAAAAAAGATAGTGGTACTGTACTGTTTAAGTTGAACATGTTCATGGTCATCTCACTGCTTCCAGAAACCTGTGTGATTAATTCTTTTGCAATTAATAAAGATACTACAACCTCTCACTGATCAATCTGAATATGGTGGGAATTGCTAAGTATTATGGGACAGTAAATGGTAAAATGGTGAAAAAAGGTAAAATAATATTTTTATTCTTTTGTTAGAAATGTATTTGTAATACTGCACATGTTCTGTTACTAGATAAAGAACAAAAAGACACAATTTAGCAAAGTTACATTTGTCACATGAGAAAAAATCTTTTTTTTAAATCTTTGTCCATCTCATAGGACAGTGATTAAGAGGAAAGATGGTTAGAATCGGCTATTCAGCTAAACCAGTGATAGCTTATACTCATCATTTCTGGATGCTACATTTTTGCTCCGAAGCAATGAAGTAAGTTAAATGCTATCTGAAGCTATTCCTTCTTAATCATTCAGACCTGACTTGGAAGACAAAAAGGAAACTGGTGTGTAACTAGGAAAGGTGACTCCACTGCTGTAGTATTTTCAAAACCTTGAGGAATGCTGGCATTTGATCTGCACAAAAATGCGTTAGACAGGCACTTTTTCTTTGCAAAAATAAGTTGCCAGGAGAGATAACTGGACTTCATTAATTTCCTCTTTAAATAATGAGTCTTCCTTGAAAATTGACATAATAGTCATGAAACTGATAGCTAGAACAGACGAAGGACATTACAAGGGACTTGGTTTGTAGAAGACAGCTTTCCAATGACTCTTTTCTAGATTCACCAAAATTTAAAATAGATTTTCTTCACTGGTGATGATATATGAGAACTGAAGAACAAGGCCACCTAGATCAGGATCCAGTATCCAGCAGCAGTGTGAGAATAGTGAGCATGTACAAGAATGGTGCTTCCTGCAGACATTCGCCTGGTCTCAACCATTTAAATTCAGGGACGTCCTCAGCCAGAGACGGTGACTGTATTTAATAACTCTCAGTATATCTATATGCCTGAATTTGTTTAGTTTCCCTTCAACCCACGGACTCCTCGAATTCTCAGTATCTTGACTAAAGTGTGGCACTGAGGATATACTTACCTTCCCTTGCTTGCCTAGGCTGGACTTGGAGAAGAGCAGAAAATAGTCTCACCTAGTGAAGAGGTAGGCATCTTCCAGAAGAGATCAAGTTGGAAGAGATGTTGGAAGATAGGTTTGTTGCATTAGTATCAGTAAAAGTGGAGACCTCAGAAAAAGGGCAGACGGAACTATCTGCTGTGTTTGATATTACCCTTTCCAGGTTATAGTGAAGATACCTGGGGTGGGGGAAGGGGGGAAACCCTTGCAGCTGTATGTTTTGCTGCTCTACAGCCACGGACAGCAACAAGGCACTGATTTCAGCAGGGCTAGGCCTCAAGAAATTCTAGCAAGATTTTGCACCTGCCTGTGTTTGCCTACTTTGCCGAATAAAGTTAGAAAGCTGCCAAGGGCCTCTCAGTTCTGTGTACTTCTGTTTTCACAGTTCAGCTTAATCACAGGTACACTTGTTAAAACACGCCTGCTTCAGGAACAGTTCCAGTGAGAACATTAGCTGTGTCTGGAAGGTGTGAGCCGTCGTGACTTACCCTGGAGCTCATTGAAGTTATCAGAAGTATTTCCAAAGACTTCTGTGAGTGCCAGCTCATTTTCTACAGAGTACAAAATAACGAAGAGGGGAGGGTGGCAAAGAGCACAGCTAAAAAAAAAAAAAACAACCAACATAAATAAATGAAACTTTACTGATAGTTTCTGATTTTTTTCCTCAAAAAAACAAAACAAAACAAAACAAAATTAAAACACCCCAAACCTATAATGCAACTTGAGAAAAAAATAATTTATCTATGAAAAATCAAGAAGGTTAAAACCAGAGAAAAAACAAACTAAAACATAAAAGTATTGAATCCATAAGATATTTAAAGCATTTCATCTCAAAACTCAGCAATCATCACTTGTTGGAGGGGAGAGCAGAGATGGAACTACAGTCTGAGTCTTCTGACTCCTGTTCATGCAATGGGTACTGCCTTGCTGTGCTGGTTTCTCTACTTGTAAAATGGCTTCTTTCATAAACCACATGGAAACCCATAAATGATTTGCAGTGAAATAGAATATAATGGAAACACTCTAAGAGTAGTATTTGTATGTAGACCGTAGAGAAAATTAAGTCATTCCATCTGCGAAAGGTAAGACTCGATTAATTAATTGGTTCCTCCCTTTCTTCTGGGAGCCTGGTAGATAATTAATTTGCAAATATGTATCAGCTGAATTAGGGAGCATCTGGAAATTAGAGAGCTCCATAATTCTTTCAACATAAGCTATAGGGAAAAAAAACAACGGAGAAACTAATCTAAGATACAAGTGGAAGTTTGAATATTGGGTATTGGTCACTGCTGGCAGAATGTCTCAGCAGGTGGTGATGACTGTAGGAGCAAGTATAGTGACAATCTCCTTGTATTGCCCAAGAGAAGCAGATAACATGCACTTAGTCAAGAGGGCAGGAAGTTTTTCTCCTGCACACTGTTGTTTCTGCTGCATCTTGGGGTGAGTTGACGGTGGCCAAATGTCAGAAGCCAACCCAGCTGCTTTCTTACTGCTTGTCCTTAGTAGGCTGGAGGGAAAACAGGATGGAAAAGATAATGGGTCAAGATGAAGATGTAGAAATCACTTAACTAGTCACTGTCATGGGCAAAAATGGACTTGGGGAAAATTAATTTATTGTCATTTAAAATAGTGGGATAGTGAGAAACAAAATACTTTCAGTTGGCTCAAAATAATAATGCCAAAATAACCTAATAATCTTTGAATAAATGAAACCAATCTTATTCTTTTTGCTAGTAATCGTTTTCTCAGATTATTTTGTTCCCTATCAAAATTTAACAGGGTAAAATAAAAGAGGAAAGTACTGTTTCTTTAGAACTCGGATTTCTAAAACCTTAAAAAAATATTGAAGTGTAGGGGGAAAAAAAAAAAAGGAAAAAAAAGAACCAAGATCTTGCCAAGGGGTGGTTCCCTAAGTAACTAGTCTCTCACTTCCAGAATGTGGGTCAGTGTCTTTCCTAGTCTTCCTACCTGTGTGGGTGGAAGGAAGGCTTATTGTGGTGACTGAAAGACAGGAGTGTATCACCTGCTATTGATGTACCACAAATGAAGAGGCTGCCTGTTCTTCATCACGACTTTTTGTACACCTTCTGATTCAACAAAGAGTGCTTGCTCTAAATTAGCTGGATTTCTCTATAACCCTGGACCTGGTATGTTTTTGAATTATTATAACTGAACTTAATTTTAGACTGTTTTATATATAATTTATTACTACCATGAATGAATGAACATATCTTTTCAGCTTTGCAGATGGCAATGTGGGTGTGAAACCCATTTCCAGTCTTAGTGTTCCTGTAACTAGTTGTGTAGACATCACATAGAATGAAGTACAGTGACCATGATGTCACATGCAGTTTTCGTTAGTTAATGAAAACTGTGCAATAGTGATGTTTTAAATGTTGAAAAAAAAAAATCATAAAAGTTCCTTTGGAAGATGGATAAGTTAAGGACATGCTGATGTAATGTTAAAATTGTAATTTTATATAACATATTTATCCCAGATAAATATGGATACATATATATAGTGAAGTGGTAATTCCTCCAATTAATGAATATCATTCACTGGAGCATACTGACATGATTTGAGATGTTACTCTCCTTGTTTTTCATCCATGTGTAACTGTGCCTCAGCTGTTCATTCAGTTCACACTGCTGTGCTCTCTTTTCCAACGAGGAGGTAATATATCATTTTGCACACGAGTAGATGAGACGCAGGTGCCTGTCTGGGTCTGTCATTCTTGCAGCTGAGTAATAAAATTCTGGCTGAGGAGCAAAGCAGATAGCTGCAAACACTGATGTCTTCACACATTACATCGATATTGGTGAAGGATTTTTGTCATGCTTGTCGAAAGGGGAAACCAAAGCAGCCAGGTGACTTGTCAGGGTCAGGGACCACATTGCAGGCAGACTGAGAGGCTATTCTGGGCACTGTTTTCTGTCACTGCCTGCCTGAATGCAGTGCAGCTAACCACATATATGAGGACAGTGTCAGGAATGCTCTTGTATCCTGCTGCACAGACCCAAAGTTGGAGATGCATAGAAGGCCCTGTGGTCCAGGTGTGGCCTGGACCTCTCTATTTCTTCACATTGCAGTTGAATGAACATGTCCCAGGGCTTCAATGGTCTCAACCCTTATCTTTAACAAAAAGAGGAAATGTAGAAGACAAGGGGCAAAATGGGCCCTCCTGTTTTTCTCAACAGACTGAGTTGAAGTCCTTACCCGTTCAATTGGCCACCAGTCCCACACCCCAATGGACAAGTACAGGTGGCTGTGAAGGGCCCTGCAGCTACAGGTGAGGCTATGCATGCCTGTGTGACGCTGGGCTACCTCAGAAGGCTCCCAAGTCTTCAGCATTGGCTCCCAGAGCTGCAGCCAGGGTTGCCTGCAGGCTGAGGCCAGAGCCCATGCTTCGGCAGGCCTCCAGGAGCCTGAGGTGTCTAAAAGGGAGAGGGAAGGGGGAACCCCGCTCGGGGTAATTCTGCATTTGTCTTACCACACGCATGAAGCAACAGAATTGGTCCCCAGGGGGTTTGAACAGGCAGTTGAATTTTGAATGGAAAAGTCTGAGGCTTTATCTATCTCTTTGTAACTAGCTTGTATTACAATTAGAGAACAGATGGCCTGTTTCTTGTACAGCTTTTGTGGATATATACTTATACGGTGAGAGTGGCACAGTTGCATGATGTTTCATTGATTTAGATTTTCACAGAAGTTTTTGGGGGTGTACTGGCTGATTGTGTTGCCAAAATTTAAAACCTTAATGGCTTACTACTACCAGCTTGCGTGGCCTAGTGGTGATGTCTGGGTACCTAAACAGAGAGAAAGAACGCCAGGCCTTGCCTTTGTTTGCTTTAAATAGCACAACAATGATTTATTGAATGTGTGGGGAAAATCAGGGTTAGTTCGTGTTCTGACATAATTTTAACCTATTTCTGCTATAATAGCTTTTATAGCACTCTTTGAAGTTCAAGGGGGCA